TTGATGCAGCAGTCCTGCTTAAAAATGTCAACCGTTTTGCGTTTGACAGCGTTCAAGGTCGAGCAAAGTCCATTATTTGCTATACCTAAGTAAGATTACACATTTTAGTGATTTTCTTAGAAACTGTAATAGATGCAACGTGTATTCAAATATTACTCGATATTCTTTTGACCTTGAATTATAATTTGTATTAATTATATGATCTGAGTGCTTGTATTACATGATCTATACATAAAAGTCATTTTCATCATCTTTGTTTTACTTAAAATCAGAAGTCTGAAGTTTCTGGATCTATTCATCAAATTATATATCTGCCACTCTGTCCTCTTAGTAACGATCATTGCATGCATATGTAAGCATATAATTTATAATTTAGATAATTTCTATTTGCTTCCTACCTTATTAATTATGAAGTTTTAATTGATTTTCACTATTGTTCTGTTCTCAGAAATTGAAGAACTGAATACTGGGTGCGGCTACCTTACTTTGATGCAGCAGTCCTGCTTAAAAATGTCAACCGTTTTGCGTTTGACAGCGTTCAAGGTCGAGCAAAGTCCATTATTTTTGCTATACCTAAGTAAGATTTCTAAAATATGTAAAATTAGTTTTATCAAATGTTTTATGTAAAGCTCTATTTAGGGATAGGCTTTTAGGATGAGATTAATATAATTTACTTACATGTAATTAATTTACACCACAATGTTGAAAAAACTTTTCAATGGATTTTTTTACTATCAAGCGTTTTCTATATCAACTATAATAGAACTTTCGTTGGGTACTGCTTATCTGCGTCTTCAGTATTTCATCTAGTATAGTTACTATAAACAATCAAAGTATATTTTGCTCTATAAACTCAAAATAATAGTATAACAAAGATCTATTTTTTTTCAACTTCTTAATCAATCGTCCACTTAATAAAATGTAAAATTTCAAGTATAGGCTGTTCTTGTTTCTAATTTCTGACTTATAAGGATCGAAAATGTATAAGATTTGAAAAAACTGTCAGATAGAGGAAGTAGAGAAATGTATGTAATAGCAAGGATAAACAATACATAAGATTTGCAAAACTAAATGTGTCTGACAGAGAAAGTACTGATATATGTCGACCTGTAAAAAATCAATACTTCTGTAGTACTTGTTTACATTCCTGTTCTCCTAGTAGCAAGGATCAATATTGCATAAGATTTGCAAAAAAATAATGTTCCAGACAGTCAAAGCGCGCGCGCGCGTCCTAAGTCCATTTTCCATCTACTAGTGACCAATATAAGCTTAAATCGTAGACCATGTCGTAAGCAATAGAAAATGAAATATATATCTTGTATTTAATAGATATATGGAATTACGGGATACTATTCATTTAAAGAACTTTTCATGAGTGATAGTGCAAAAAAATAATTCAAAATCATCGTTTTTGAGTTTCTTTTTGCAGCGACAACTATTTTTTTTTCAATCGCTTCGCCCGAGTTCGCATATGTTCATATTTTATTTAAAAGACAGTACATATGCTTGTATGTATCCACTTCGATTTTAATTAAGACTGACTAATTAGAGGTTATGAAATTTAAGCAGAATTAATAGATGAATATTAATTGATAAATCGCTGCATTTAACAGGCAAGTAAATCTATATTCATTATTTTGTAATTGATTCTCTTCAATACTTTATCTAAATGCAATTTAAAATTTTTGTGTTCAAAATCTAGTAACTTTGACGTTGCAACTAATTATACGTTAACTTTTTTCATAGTTGATGCACAAAAACAGATGCTAATCCTAAACAGTTACATAATTTCTGCATCTGGAAGCTGGAATAATCCAAATCTGTTCATATAAAGAAGCTTCAAGGACGATACAAGGTTTCATCAAACTGTTCATCATTGTTCAAGAAACAATTTGGCAATTCAAAATAAAGCTCCTAGAAGGCTAGTTACAAAACTTTAAAGTTTTTGAGCAACAATAAAATGATGTCCGATACTAACAAGGTGAAGAATGGTCAAAACTAAGAAAATAATATATTAACAATTGGTTTTCATTTTAGGATGCAGGCAATGAGATCAAAGACGACGTCATGGACTTTGCTGTATTTATATCAAAAATCATTCACAGTGTTAGTCCTAGACATAAAAGATTTTTGAAACTGGTGTTGCTGGTCTACGTTAATACGCTAAACATAAATCATGCCGCTAAGTCAAGGAAGCACAATCGTAGAAGTAGACCGAATAAAAGTGGAAGTCAGATATCTTGGAACAAAAGTGCAGATGAATATTTACTTTCACTATTTAACCAAGATGTTCAAGATGAATATTTTAGAAACAAAGACATTTTAAAAGAATCGTCAATTCTAAGCTCAATAATGACAAAACATAATAATACCTCTTGGTTTACCTCCAAGGTAAGAATTCTTACTTACATTTAGAGTTGTAGTTTTTTATTGAGGAATAATAAATTCTGCTTTAAGGTATCAAATAAAGGCAGAAGTGATAATGTTCGTATAAAGCGTTATTTAGGAGGAACACAGAGAAATGTTCCATGGGTGAATAAATGTGAACAATTAAACATAAGCGATTATTCCACAGAAAGTTCTACAAGTAGTGATCTTGACGTAAATTTGATCACGCAGACACATGTAGATGATAGACAGTATGTACCAAATGTGAATGAATGTTTAGTATCCAATGTAAACGAGGTTTCTCAATCAAGCTCTGCAATTAGTGAAAGGCATTCTCTACCAAAGACGAATGAATGTTTAGTATCAAACAGAAATGAGGTTTTTCATAGAAGTAGTAATCTTGAAGAAAATTTGCCCAGCGTGAACACGCAGAGATGTGTAAACTATAACGAGATTCTTCCAATTTTTAATGACTATTTACCATCAATCAGAAATGAGAATTTTAAAGAAAGTTCTACAAGTAGTGATCTTTACTCGGATTTACACATGCATAAACGTGTAAAGTATACGCATTCTCAACCAAAGGTGAACGAATCGAATGTAAAGGAGGTTTCACAATCAAGCTCTGCAAGTAGTGAAAGGCATTCTCTACCAAAGGCCAATGAATATTCAGTTTCAAATAAAAAGCATATTTATCAAGAAACTGATACAAGCAGAAACTTTGAAGTAACTTTGCTCAGAGCGAGCACGCAGGAATCTGTAAAGAATAACGAGATTCTTCCAAATTTTAATAAATGTTTACCATCAAACAGTAACCAGAATTCTAAAGAATGTTATACAAGTGAAGTGAGTTTGTTCAGATTAAAGGATAACCAGTTGCTGCCACATTTTAATGAATATTTACCATCAAACAGAAACAAAACTTCTCAAGAAATTTCTACAAGTTGTGGCCATGAAGGAAATTTGCCCAGCGTGAGCACGCAGAGACCGAAACTACAAGCACTCCGTAGATGGGTAAATCAAAGTTCTATAAAAAAAATAAGCATAACTTCAATAATAGAAGAACTTTTAAAACTTTAAACTATTTTTTATTTTTATATTGAAATACACAATATTATTGTGAAGTTTATCTTTCTAAATTAAGTTGATCAGGAATATTTTAAATCTCTAATTTTGATTCCAGGAATCAATGTGTAAGAAATGTGATCAATATCCTACTAATCGTATGGTGAATGAACATTTTGATGTATCTAAAAGTAAAAGTCATGAAGTTAACAAATCAAGTTCCTCAAGTACTAGCATTTTGTTGGAAACTGTTCCAATTAATAGGAATCAAAGCAGAAATGATGCGAAATATCAAAAGTATATAAAGGTAAATTTAATTGTAAATAATATTGCTGTATACTTCTAAGAAAAGAAGAGCAGTTTTTAATAATGTTAAAATTTTGATTCTAGCTAACGAGCGATGGTGATTCTGAGAGTTCAAGATCATATTTAGGAAGTTTGAATCATGACAATTCTTCAAGTAGTAACAAAGATCCTTATATTTCAAACGTGGGGAGTCCGGACAAAATGAATGCAAAACATGCTAAGTATAGAAAGGTACGTCAAATAATTGTAAAATGTCTTTAGTAAAGTTGTTTACTTCTAATTAAATAAAGTAAAAATTTATAGAGTAATTGCTAAGGAATATTTTAAATTTTTATTTCTAACTTTATATATTGTTACAGATATCAAGCGATAGTAAAAGTGAGGACGATAGCTTAGTATCCTTTGAGCTAGAATTGCCCATTTTAAGGAAAAAGTTATCGAATGAAGGTAATGCAATATATCGCAAAAAGGTAAGTTAATTAATTGTAAGCATATGTATATCCAGTGCCGCCTTAACCAAAGAGCTAAGTAGACTATAGTTCTAGAGCGGCAGTATTGCTTTCCCTATTGTGTATATTCTTATGAACTTTAATTTTGATTCAAGATGTCAATCGTCCACAAAAGTACGGTGGATTACATGAAGTCGCTGATACGAAGAGTGAACATTACGCGTTCAGAAGAAATGTATCTCAGGCGTAACCAACCCGCTAAAAGAATTGAAAAAGAATATGTTCATTCATCAGAAAATACTGACGAAATACTGACTATTAGTGATGATAGTTCTTCGAGTAGCTTTATAGATGTCGTTAATCTTTAGACACATAATTGATATATGCAACATATAGCAAAAACAGAAAATTAAGGTAAATAACAGCAAACAAAACTTCTTAATTTTGAATTAGGATAACCATAGACCAAGAAACCTAGTATGATGATACAAAATCATAAGTAACCTTAACGTACGATTTCCTAGGAAAAATTCTAAGAATGTAAGGAGATCTTCGGAACATATTTATTTACCATAGAAGATTATCAAATACAATATACTGTGACCCAAATAAATGAATACAGTTGTTAAAATGATTCAACCCTAAAATCAAAAAAGACTTATTTTTACAATTATGTATAATACATTTGTTAACACATTTTAATTGTTTTTACTTAATAATATTATAGTAAAGTTATTTTAAACTGATTTTTTTCATTGACATCCATTTTTTCATACTAATCATCAGAATTAATATTTTCAACTGTGTTATCAAGTTTTACTTTTTGTTTATTTTCAAAATTATCAACATTTATCATTTTATCAAAAAACATTTTTTTTACATCCATGATTTTTTAGTCCTTTTGTCATTATAGATATTAAATAGATATTCTATTTTCTTTATATTGATTAAATTAATGATATAAATCTATGCAGTAGAACAAATCTATTTGACTTTCTACTATTTTATGATTTTCTAAGTTTATACAACCAAGACTGCATGCAAAATTCTCTCTTTGACACATTGAGTTTTTTCAAATATTATGTATTGTTTATTTTTGCAGCGAGGAGAATAGAAATGAAAAGGGGTACTACAAAATTATTGATTTTCTAAAGACTTGCAAAAACAAACTGCTTCAAGGTTGGAAGAACGCGCCAAACATTTCACTTTTGATTCTCGCTACCAGGAAACTAGAAAGAAGAACCGGTGATACAAATCTACTGAGTAATCGGACATGTGTCACCTATAAAATTACTTTAACTGTCAATTGTCAAATCGTAAGGCGTTACAATCTTCTGTCATTAGTTATACAAATCTGTATAACTAATCCTTTAAATTTAATAAACTTTAATTAAATGGAATTTATACTTAATTATAGTTATATAAAGAAGGTAGTCCTAGATCTTTATTCATCATGATAGCTTGATTCCTGCTTCAAAGTTTGCAATAAAAAGAAAGGAAGATCATATAAGAACGTATTTAGGAAGGATGGATACTGATGGAAAGTATGTCAAAGTATCCAAAGAAGAAGAAGAGATGTTTAAACTTCCTTTTCGAGTTTGCCATTGCTTACTGAATTATTCTTAAATTTTAGAAAGTCTTTTTCGATATGATCCTGAAAAAGCATGTCATAAATTATTTATTGAAATTTTACATTTTTAATTAAAATTGCAAAATATTGGACTTTGCTCAAAATTGTAATTGTCTGTCAATCTATAAGCATGCGTCACTTGTCATGGTGTCTAAAGAAAAAACAACTGTTTATTCAAAGTAAAGCAGCCTTAAGTCAACACTTGACACACCTATTAAGTTCTTTTATTACACAGCAAAAAATAATGATCTATAAATCACAAGGGAGTCAGGTAAGAAGAAAAGGCATATAATTATTTATCTAAATCTACCAATTTTATGTTTACCTATTTATAATGGTACCTGTTAAAACCATTATGTGTTAATCGGATTTCATACTTATAGTGTTATAAACTTATGGTCTTCCAGATTTGTAATCCGTAATTATGTTCGAATATGTTTAAGATTTTGTAGTCAACGATATTCCAATTATCATTTAAAGAATTGAGGTATGATAACAATGATCAACATCCAAGATATATTATAAATGCGAATTTTATATTATTAAACATTGACGAAGATAATGAAGTTACATGTTTATCGTCAAGTGGTATTGATATGGAATTACCCGTTCTAAGCAGAAGAAGTCCTGATCGAAATGACGCAAAATACTCCAAATATAGAAAGGTACATAGTAATTGTTCACAAATAAAGAATAGTATTTGATATAATTCTACTTAATTAATTTTATTTCAAGGTATCGGTCAATGCAAACAATGTAAATGATAGAACAAAATTGTATCCAAATATTTATGGAGATAACTTTATAAGTAATAATATTGAGATGGAAGCAATCTCGTTCTCGAGGAGTCCAGATCGAAATGATGCAAAATTTACAAAGTACAGAAAGGTACAGAACCAAAATGTTTCAAAATATAGCTAGTACGGAAGGGCAGAGGTATACCTCTAACAAAACAAGAATAATTAAAAAGATAAAGTACTATACTTTGAACTAACCAAAATCGTTGTTAATATGAAATTTGCGAAATTGTTTCTTTTTCAATTTTGATTTTAGGTGGACAAAAGCAATGACGATCTTATAAGATCGATGAGCAAGATGAACATTATGGGTCCAAAAGAAATGTATCAAAGACGTGAAAATTTATCTGAAAAATTTGATGAGGATAATGGATAATTTTGTATCTATATAATATTAAAGTGATATTATTTTATACTAATCTTTATTTTCATCAATAAGTGATTTTGATCAAAGAATACAGGAAAATATTTTTTTACATTTTTGTCACATTGTTCTGGTTTTATCCAATTGGCAGCAATTCGAGTTCAAAATGAAGTAATAATAAATTAACGCTTGAAAAAGTAGTACCTTCACATATTAGTGATTTTCTTATAAACTATATAAGATAGAATGAATCTAAAAGACTCATATGAAAGTTGTATATTTCGGAAATACATTGAGCCTTCAAATATTGCTGTAATTAGATTAATTTGCGTTTAAATATGAATTTTCAATGGCAAAGTTCTGGACTTTGCTCAACCTTGAAACCGGGTGGTTCCCATCGCTCATGCGTACAATCCTGTCATGGTGTTCGTCCCTTGGAAACAAGGATTGCTGATTCAGACTAAAGCAACCAGTTAAGTACGGGCGTATTTGTTATTTAGTTTGATTAATTGAAAAGCACAGAACGATGTCTGACAACATGCAAATTAATGAGGTATGAATAAAAAGCAAATACTTATTTATTAAATGTATAAAAAGATATATATTACCAGTAGCGTCTCTAAGTTCGATTAACTGGGGCCCCGTCAATGAAGGGCCCTCCAAATAATATTAGTTTATCTTTGAAAATGTGAAGTTTCCTCACAATATATTTCCTTTTTCATTTGCAGGTCCTCAGCAAATTCTCCATTAAAAATGAAACTGCCGAATCAAATAAAGTAAGATAAATAACATTGTACAAAAAAGACCTATCTTTTAGTGATTAAGAGTTGTTTTCTTCATGGACAAATTATAATATTATTTCTATTATGATTAATTATAATTACCGATAATGGAAATTCTGATTGAAGGTAACTACTATTGACCAAAACTACCAGGAAATTATAGTCATAAGTTCAGATGAAGAGGATGGTGAAAGAAAACCGCCTGCGATGGACACGATCAGTATTAGTTCAACGAATGAAGTAGGAATACCAATTGACAAAATTAAATACGTACATCAAAATATTACTATGAATAATTTGTAGAAATATGAAGAGGATGCATATGAGCGAAATGACGAAAAGACAAACCTAAGCAAAGAAAAACAACAGAGGACTAATTCTTGCCGGAACATGAACAAAGTGAGATTAGTTCGTAAGCCCGGTCATAAGGATTTGAAAAACGTATGTGAAATAATTGTAAAGAATATTATTATCTCTAGAATATATAATTGTGATCTTCTCATTAGGCCTTGAAAGATAATAAAAGGAGCAAGGAAGTAACCTCTAAAAATATGGTTTCAAATCCATATTTTAATAAATATTTTTATAAGTATCACAGGGTATGTTAAATTGTGTTTTTTTAATTGATGTGAATTAATGCGTATCCGGATTTTAGCTGAGAAAACAATTAAAAGCCATGGTAGAACGTATCTGATGTCAGAAAGGAGTATCCAAAATATATATTATCCTTTATACTTTTCTTTTATAAATTATATAAATAAACATATTTTATTTAAGATGTCTTTAATGTGTGTGCGGGAGATACAAGAGCAGGAAAACAACAAACGAAAGGAATCTTTAATCTTTCTCTCTCTCTCTCTATCAGACGTATATGTCGGAGAACAATACCAATATGCAAATCTCTTTGTATTGTCCACACGTCTCAAGGATATGCACATTCTTGGATTTCTGGATGGTTTGCTGTGTTGGATCACCAGTTCTTGGCTGTGTTATATAAAAGAGACTATTTTCGAGATAGTTCTTTATAACCAAGTCTTCTCAATATGCTTTCTTTAATCTCTCTTTCTCTTTCGATTCGAATGTATATATGTATAATTTTATATTCTATTGGAAGTATATGTTTTATTATTTCTAATAAAATAATTACTATCAAATTATTAATATCTTTTAATAGCTTCATTAAGCAACTCATAAATGGATGCTTGTAGCCATCTTTTGGAGGGAATGTAAAATGTATATGCGCTATTATTCGTGAAGGGTTATTTATAAGATTCTAATGCTAAATCAACTTGGATGGAATTGTAAAATTTTTAATGGCTGTAAAATACTAGCATCCGTTTACAGTTGAAGTTTCTCGATTTCAACTTTATGATGAGGATAATATAAACCCCATACGTACTCGTCCTTGCCACACCGGAAATAGAAAAAGGAATTTAAACAATCCACATTGCAAATAGTCAAACGTTTAATGGTTATTATTATACTAAACTCTAAAAAGCTTATCCTGAAATTAGTAAAATATTCTAAATAAAGGGATTTTATTTTAAATGAAAATTCTGACGATTTTCAGGAAAGAAGTTATAGGTCTTTACGAACTTGATGGACTACGTTTCATGTTAAATAGGTCTATACTTTAGAGCTGAATGCGTTATCAAATTGCCGTAAATTCTAAATCGATAGATTCTAAATTAAAGATATGCATTTTAGATGAAAAGTATGAATACAAATTTCGCATAACAACAGCAAGAACTTTGACTTTTTTCAACCTTGAGCTAGCTGGGCTCGTAGAGGTCTATGCGCATGCGAGATTCCCGGGAGATCCTCGTCCATAGTTGCCATTGGTAACAGGACTACGAGGACAGGGCGAGGCTGCCGTAAATCCGGGTTCGATACTCTTGGTAATTCCGTTCTAAAGTGCAGTAGCACAAAGCGATGGCTGCTGTCAACGAGAATCTGCGTCGCAAGATGGTAAGAACAGATGAAATTTAACGGTGTTCAAAGGCTTATAATGTGGTTTTCATTTAGGAGCCGGCCACTGGTCTCACCGATGATGACATGGAGTTTGCTACATTCATAACAGAAATCATCGGCGGTGTCAATCCCGTCCATAAAATGTTCTTGAAAGTGATGATGCTCATTTACGTGAACACAATTCATACTACTCGTGATTTGAGACGCAACGGCGGAGGCGGAAACAGCAATGATGACAATGATTCCGCTTCCTCATCTCAGTCGACGAGACCGACAGTATGTCAATTCAATCAAAATTAGACAATAATTTTATAGTATATAAGAATTTGATTTGAAGAATTCTCAAAATATATAGGTTAAGTTTTCTCCTCAAATACACCCTCATTTTCCAATTGAAGGAAGTTTTTCAAGTAGTTGATAACATCTAGCTTAAGAACTACTATCAAGTAGAGAAAAGTAGGTCAAATTACTGTTAACAGAGTCACTTAAGTAATAAGTCTAGAAATTGAGAAGATCTTCTCATTTCTCATCTTCAATTTATACTAGATATTTGTACGTGACATAAAGATAATTATTATTTCATTGAAGGTTGTGAAGACCGAAGCAGGAACGGAGGAGCGTAAGAGAATGAAGAGATGTCATTCGAGGAGATTTTCTCCAACTGGTCAATACGCAATTTGCGGAAACCCAAATATTTTGATAATGAGCGATCTTCTACGTGCTCATCAGAGTGCTCAGCATGGTGCAGGAAGCTCTCCAAGCAGCGACGAAGAGGCGGAATCTCCTGTACTAAAAAAGTACAGAAAGGTTGGTAAAAAAAATGCTAAGAGCAAGGATTAAAAATTCTAATATCTTATATGAATTCAATAGATGCTAGGAAAGGATTTGCGTAAATTCATCAAAGCGGAGAAAATCCCAAGCGAGACTGAAGAAAGTTCTTCAGATAGCGAAATTGAAGGTCCGTTACTCACAGCCAAGTAAACTGATACTAAATGTATCAAGTAGACTAAGGTATGTTAAGTAATGGTGAACAAGATAGGCGTACCTCAATTAAGTTATCAAACTGATTTAAGTTATTTAAGGTCTACAGCAGCTATAACATTCAGCAAGAACAAAGAAGAAATGTTCATGTAAATAGGCAAATTCCGAAGTATACAGCCTAACTTACAAAAATAAATAAATTTCAAATTTAGCACACCCATGATCCAAGTAGCGGACGATCCAACACATATGAAAGAATAAATACATACCCAAATCCCATAATATCTCATCGCTGAAATCTTTATTTCAATAATAATTCTAAATACTATTCACATGTATAGTTCATATCTATACAAAATGCTTTGTTCTATTATTTTTCTGATATTAAAATTTTGTTGCATAATTGTGTTGCGTATTATTTATAACCAAATATAACATTAATTATATAAGATTTAATTAGACAAAAACTATTAGCTTAGTTGACCTACTTCACTTCAAATTTGGATTTCCATTCAGACTATATCAGATTTGTGTATTGAAAAATTTCATTTTGAGTATAAATTTATTATATACTATATAATTATATTATTAATCCATTATTATTATATTATTATCCAAAATTATATAATTTGATACTCAGATAATAACATTCAGGTAATAATATTCTAATATATGTAGATGTAGTAAAACTGTTAAGTCCTTGATAATGACGTCTTTTGACATTAGCTAAACTGAAGAATTGTAGAAACTTTTATTGAAAGAATTCTTTAAAATGAAGTAACCTGTTAGATTTTCTATTAGTTATTAACTTTTAATATTATCTAAGCTTACATTTTTCGCTAATAGATGCAACTAGGAGCACAGACACGTTTCAGTCTCTGTCTCGCACATGCCTTTTTCAAACCTTATACATTTTCTATCTTTGTTACCAAAAGGCTTCCAAAAAGGTAAAAATACTAATAAAATAAAAAAAACATTAATAAAAAGTATTTGGTCAGAAAGATTAAAGTATTTTTATTTAATAGTTTATTTTATTAAACTAATAATAATAATTTCTTGGTCATATTTAAAAAAAATTAATAATAATATAATTCTCAAAATAAATAGATTCTAACATATTTATTAAAATAATTTTCTGGTATTTTTCATATATTTTAATATTATAAATAAATTGTTAATAAATTATTCATTATAAATATGAATTTATTGTTTTAAATATCATTTTAATTTTATTAATTTTAGCTATTACAAAGATATAATAAAGCACACATCAACTTTGGTATAAGAGTAGTATTTCAAAGCAACGCTACATGTTGTTGAAGTATTCTGTTCTCCTTATGCTGCATGCAAAAACATTAAACTATATCATAACAAAAAAAAACTGTGAAAATGTCCGCGCTTGCTATAAGGAGACTAGGAATACAACAACTAACAAATTACAAAATTTAATTTTCTTATTATTAAGCGCAATGCACTGTGAAAGAATGGAGGAGGAAGAAATGACGAAATGTGAACGTTAGAAATTTGCAATGTGGTACTAGGAGACTAGAATTATAAACAGGTTTGGAAGTTTGAAATGCCGCTTATACGAGACATTTTTGTTATGCAACCGAACGGACATATAAATTAAATCTTGAACAAATTAAAAATATATAACATTTAAACAAATAAGATATATAGATGTTGTTTTTCTTGAGAAAAATAATTTAAGAAATGCTAACAAAAAAAAATGTTGACAATATTTTTATATTATGTACTACAAGGATAATGATTTGGTGTAATAAGTAACTAACAACATTTCGTGGTACATTTTTCTTTTTATTATAGAGAATTAGCAATTTCTTAGATATATGACATAATAAATCAGAGTTAATCATTTACAGATGTTTAGAGAGGAAAGTACAAATTTGTTGATTCCATAACTATAGTTTAGGATCATCATCTGGTTATAAGTCAGTTAACAAATTTCTGGACTTTGATATCAATAATACACGAAATATCTGCTATATTAATGTCATCCAGCTCGTAATATCTCAATTATATTGACAGGTATAAATCTATCTATTTACTAGTAGCTTATTGTTTTTAATTCCGAGAACAAGGCTCGACAAGGGGGTGCATTTTGGGTGGGAGATGGTGCTGACGAGCACATAATTGCTTTGTCCTAAAACTTGATATCAATAATACACGAGACATCTGCTATGGTAAAATCATCCAGCTTATAATCCTTCGAGTATATTGACATATATTTTATGATTGTATAAGTATTAACTCTGAATTTGATTAGTCAATCATCTGGAGTTGAGGTAGGACAATCATGGACGTTCTCAATATATATTTTCCATGTGTATTCCTTGAGTTAGTTTATAATCCATCACGATTCTCTGTGCATCGATGTCATCTTTGCTTAATTATGTAACAAGCTGCGTTTACTTGTTATATAATTCCTTGATATCTCGAAACATCCTTGATGTAATCCATTTCAGGTTTAACGTAGCTTATACTAAATCCTTATCTGCAACAAATATATTTAAATATTTTTATAACACATTTTAAATATTACAAGAAAAACTTACATCAATTAAATAACTCATTGTAAAAATATGTCGCAATTTATTCAGTTCCTTGCATTTTATGTAATTATCATTATATATTTAATATATTCTCGATAGACTTGAATATTATTTTCAGTAATTTACAAAATCTAAAATATATCATCAAAATGTATCACTTTATATGTATCATTTTAACTCACATTAATTATGATGTTTGATGTCTGTAGTGTCTGTTCCAATATATATTACATAATTTTATGTATTCAACTTATTTATATGGTTATTTATATAATCCTGTCTGCAATAAATAAAATATTATTTTATAATTTCAGCTATTATCATTTGTTTAACTTACATGTAGTTATATTCATCTAAGGGTTTTATTTTTTTCTATAGAATTGTTCTCTTTCCTGGCACTTAGATTATGTTATATAGATATATTTATTGTGTTCAATAATTTTTCTTCATTTCAGGTTCCATATAAATATGAATATAATATTTTAAAGCTATCTGCAACAAAAAAAAATCAAATTATTTAATATGTTGGAATGTTGAAAAATAGCTGCATAAACATACATTTCGTTAGATATAGTATTTCATCCTGATTTCTTGAAATGTCAACTTAGTCACATTGTCTCAGTATTTTACTTGTCATTATGAGTTTATTTGTATTCTGGTATCATTTTTGCATTAATTCTCTATATGTAATTCTGATTTGCAGTTTGAAGTAGCCTGAATCCCTATCTACAATAATAATGTATTCAATTTGGTAATAAATCTGTATTCTCAATTACAATATTCGTTAAACTTACTGTTAGTTGTACAGGCGTGTTCGTAGTATTGCATAATTGTATTTGTCCTTGAATGTCCCACCACGTTAAGTATGATCATTATAAATTTGAAGTATTTGTGGATTTTTCCGAATTTTCTATATATTATTACAATAAACGAATTAATTTGTTGTCATTCTTTTAAAGAACAATACATACCTCTTTGGATTAAATTAATTATAGTCCTTTTTTGCGTCCTGTCAAATTTGAAGTAGAAAATCTTTTGTATCTGTTATTGTGATACAGGTGACATATACCAATGCCGCCCTTAGGTTTTTAAATTTGTGGTCTTTTGCTAAAATTTCCTTATATTTGTCTCCATGACGAATGAAAATTGTTCATTGTTGTGTCTGTAATAAATAAATAATTTTATAATGTCATTATCATATCATTTAAACTTACAAATTTGTTATTTATTCATCCGCTTAGGGATGTTGTTCAATCTTGAAATTTTGTGCAAATATCATGATTTGTCATCGTCCAGGTACTTGCAGAATACGAGCTTTGCGTAGTAGGTTATATAACATGTAGTATATCAATTTAGGCGTAAGGTGTCTCTAAAAGCTGATCTGCAAATAATTTTCATTACATAATGTTTAAATTACAGCTATGATTGTATTATTCTATCTTACGTTTTGTCATCACCTGCACTTGCATAAGATATGCATTTTCCTCTTTTGTACATAAATCTGCTCAAGCAGATTCACATCATTTGAATGTACTAGCAATATTATATAATTAGTTGATTTCATGTTATTCAATTGGAATAGCTTTTTTTTAATTTTCTGTTTTAGTTTCAGTATATAATGTATGTTTTTTCATTAGTTCTTAGGATTTGTAATACTTTTGTTTCGTTCAGTCCGGTGTAGTAATTATGTCATTTGATATTTTACCAGGATAACGAATGACACAATTTGTTGTGGTAAAACTATCTACTGGGGTCGGGGTTCAGTAGATAATGTACGTGATTTGTAATAATCTCCAGGCGCTGAATTGCTTCAGTTTTATAACGTTTTGCACAGGTTGTCAAAATTCCCACCTATTAGAAACCAATAAAAATATAAAATGTTTCAATTATTACACAATTTCAACTTACATTAGGTTATTTTGGCATATACTTAGGGAAGAATCCCGTCCTGCTGATTAGTCTCAATAGACAGTGTCTCAACTTTGTTTATATAATGGAATTGCATCTTTTGTCACTTTTTTTTTAATTTCAGATATTTGTTTAGTTTATTGTAATATTGTCAGGTCCGTTCATCTCTTGTTGGATTTTTTAAATTGGCTCCTGTCATATTCGATCCATGGAACCTTCGCATCTGTTATTGGGATACAGGCCACATAGACCAACCAGCTACATAGCCCTTATTGTTATAAATCTTCCTAAATATACAAAATAAAAAGTATTAATTTGAAGCTAATATAAAAAATATATTTAGTTACCTATGATTTTTTAATCAATATCAGTTTTGTAGTCATCTTGATACCATATTATTCTGGTATATAATATGTATATGATACTTATATATCTAGCTTAAAACTCTAAAAAACGATAACAATAAATAATTTTGAACATTTCAATTTGAACTATATTTAGTTACCTATGTTTGATAAGTATTTGTGTTCTTCTTATATAAATAGCTTAAATCTGCAATAAAATTAAATAAATAATTTTGTTAGTTTCACCAAACTTTTAATATAAAAAAAATAGTTACCAATGTTTCAGGTTTTCAGTCGCACTCATTACTTCTATTTGCTTGTAATAAAATGTATGTTCTTCTTATACATCTAGCTTAAATCTGTAAAAAAAAATGTATCTTTCAGCTAATTTTTTATATAGCTTTTAAAAAATAGTTACCTATGTTTAATAAATCTTATCAGTTTTTTCAGTCGCTTTCATAAATTACATTTGCTTGTTTGATAAATTATCAGTTTTGCATTCTTCTTATCTAAATAACATAAATCTATAACCAAAATAAATAAATTTTGTTTTTTAATTTTACCAAACTTTTTAAATACTTGCATTTAATTACTCCTTTCTTTAGAGTATATCCTAATTAAGTTAAGTTATCACTTAACTTAAGTTCTTATCTATGTATTAAAAATAAAAATAGATTAATTTGTTTATCTAAGTATTTGTTTCTACTTACATTAAATTGCAGTACTTGTTGTTTTATTCACTAAAGTTATCTTAGATTCTAATACACTGTTAGTGTTTTAATACTAGCTTATCCTAGATTCCTTTCTGAAATAAAAAAAAATCAATATTTTTATATTACATTTTGTTTTAACTCACATTTGTAATTTTGAATATTGGAGTTCCACATTTATCTTTAGATTTCATTAAAATGGTCAGAAATTTTAATGAAATCTATGATTATTCTCAGTTATCCTAAAGATATAGACACCTTTATTGAAGTTAATAAGACGAATGCTACAAACTCTATATATCTCTTGTTAGTTCAATCATTCAGTAATTTAATCGTTGTTTATTTCTTCACATTCATTAATCAGAGTTTTGTCACATTGTAAATTGTAGGTCTTTCATCATTTCGATTGGGTTGAGGACTTCTTCCGGTTCTAAAAGAAAAGAAAAACACTTATCCTCAAATATTTAGATATGTTATCTAGTTAAGATTGATATTAGATACATCATTTTTTTAATTTTGTGGATCAGTGTAGGATATATCCGCAAATTATTTTTTTCAGGCGCATCTGTAAAAGCTACGTTAGTTCTTCGTCCGTAATGGGTGAAATGTAATATGGTATTATTAAGTAATTCTTTTACTTACAGTTTAATTCCATGTAGTATTGTTTATTCCATAGTTTATCTTGGCATAATCCTATTAGAATCCCGCATAGATAAATTCCAATCAGGATTATAATCTCAATAAACCATCTAATTTCAGAATAAAATGGTAATAGCTAATGTATCAGTATTTCACGGAAATTTCAATAATCCATATTCCTTGTAGAATATCTTGAAGGATCTCTAGAAGTTCTTGTGGATAATCGAAATAAAAATAACTCAAATAAAAAGATGTAAATAAAAAAAACTTATTAACTAGACATAAAGTTGTCGTTTTGAGAATTTGAACATTGTCTTTAAATTGTTCAAATAACGTTCAACAATTATAACATTCACAACACTTGATTAAGTCCGTTTTCACAAGTCTCCTTGTAACATTGATCAGTACATAGATACAACAATTATTATCTAACACCAATAACACATATACATATAACATCAAGGTTTGCGTTCTCAAAAAATAATCAAACATATAGATTTGGAAATTAAACAAAAGTGAAATTTGATTTTGTAAAATTATTCCATTATAAAACATTAAAGGCATACCAGCTTTTATGTTACGTTTTGTAACTGTTTTTGCATATAAGTTGGTACGATGCAAAAAAACATTTGGAAAAGTTTAAAATAATCGTTCAAAATTACCATGTGATTCTAAAAATTAAATTTTAAAAACTAAAAAGAATACAGAAAGAAGCTAAGTGTTCCTTTCTGCTCTCCTGTACTTCTTTCGCCTTAATTCTCAAATGGACCAATTTAAGCTCTGGAAACTCAACTCTTCAGAACTGAGTATTTGTGTTGAAGATATTTCACAAAAATGAGAAAGAATTTATCGCTAAAAAGGACTTTATACAATAATCCAAGTAATCTTTCAAGGGTGTTATTCATATTGATCAGTAACAACAACAGAAGTACTAGTTCTTGCAGCCCGATTTGAACAACTTAGGAAAGTAATGGGAAACCATAGTTTCCAAATGAAAATCACGTAATGGAAAGAAAATAATTTGTATTCGATACCCAGAAAAGGTTTCTACTCATCTCAAAATCAAAGATCTGCTGGTTTCAAGACGTAAATCATTTTTCCAATTAAAGCTCTTATTTGGGGAAACAATAGTCGAAGCGTCAAAAAGATGAATGTAACTTTAGAACAAAAGATGAATTGAATAAAAATTAATATAAGTTTAAAGATAATTAAAATAAAAATAGACGTGAGCCTGGAAATAAAGTGAAACAATTACAATCATCAGCACCAAATTATCAAGCTTCGACTATTCTTCCTTCAGGTAACATAAAAAATAGGCCTTAGCTAGTTTTTGGTTTTACTATTTTTTTGGTCATCTTCACCTTTCTGCATCATTCCTCCCACATTCTTAGTTTTTCAGATTTTATTATGTTTTTTTTAGTTGCTTAGACTGAAAGTAACAAAAAGTGAAACAATGATTTGATTGAAATTAGTTAAAGCAAAATCCGAGTAATATAAAAAAAATGTAAATCGAATTTATTGTATGGATCGAAGTAAATCCACAAACAAATCCAAGCCCATGGAAAATTAAATTACTGAAAATTAAATGTTTACGTTATTGAAGCCTTTTCTTTCAGGTTGATCCTTGGATATTGAATCATTTTGTAACTGAACTTTTAGATGTAAAATTAATGTTAAGAATTTTGTTCAAATTAGGATCTCAGCGAATGAAGTACCTGGACCTCCCACCAAGCCCGCTGATGAAGATATTCTTGTCTCATTAACAAAATGTTTAATTAATACGCAACGCGCGCAAAAAGTATGGGGTATGAAAATATTAAGTCTGAGTTAATTCATATATAAATAACTGAGAGTTAAAAACTTGTGAACTGAACTTCAATAGTATAATAGTTGAAGTTCAACTTTGGTTGAACATCGACTAGACTTTCCACGCGCCTTGAATATGTGCAAGAAATTATTGAAAATTTGACATAAACTAAAAGTACTTAACATAATTAACTTAAAATTAAAGAAAATCATAAGAAATAAATGGAACCTAAAACAAATCGAATCGCTAGGTCGTGAAGCACGAACCTAGCTTTAAATCAACTGGTTTACAAATGGAACTCAAGAACTTAACTAATGGATAGTGTGAATATAAAAATCCGATCCTCCTGAAGGTTTCCAAGCTCATCCAAAAATTCATCCAATAACGGCCATATTCTAGTTCAAAATATAAATATTCAACAAGTTTCATTTTCTTGTAATGCCAATAAATCTTCATCAAACCAACAAGGAGCGAAAAAAAAACAAAAAATTAATAAAATAAATTTAATAAAAATAAAATAAACAAAATAATAATAATAAATAATAACAAAATATGAATAGTAAAAAAATATCTAAAATTATAAAAAAAAAATATATTTTTAATTAAAAACAAATGATACGAATAATTAATTTATTATAACTATATTTTCTAAAAATCAAATTTTATAAATTTAAAAAATAAACTTAATCAATTTAATTGACAAATAATTAAGTATTGATTAGTGAAAATGCAAAACAAAGTGAAAACTTCTCTTCTCTCTTTATATTTGACAATGTATGTATATTGAAAATGTACAATGAAATGCTGACTTGTCATATTATTCGCTCTAATTTAAATTTATTATAAATTCAAATATTGAAATGAAACATTCTTACAAAACAAAATAATAAATAAACGATACGATAAAACTTGTTTAACAAAAATAAATATTAATATAAGAAAAATAAACGATACGACAGGAAACAAATAAAAAATAATAGTATAATAAAAATAAACGATACGACATCATAAAATAAATAAATTACATAAAATAATATACTCCTTGCATATTGATCAAAAGACATAATTCAAGTAATTACATAATTTCAAGTCATGTAACATGGACATTACAGAATATTACAAATACACAAACTACGTTTTTATTCATTGGATTTTCTTCTTGTTATCGGCGATTTATTGACAACCTGTTAAAAAATAAAAAATAAAAAAATGTACTCTAAATCATATCAATATCAACTTACGAAAAGTTTTCCATATAGTTTCAATAATTTGCAACTTATATATATTGATGGAACTACAGTTTTCCAATTAATTTCAATAATTTACATACATAGATAGAACTACAGTTTTCCATGTAGTTTCAATAATTTACAATTTACATACATAGTTTTTCTCTGTTCGTTGATTGGGATAGCTGAAAAAATAGAAGTTTTAAAATTTTGAATTTTTATTAAAATATAAATTCTTACGTAATATTTTGTACTAATGCCATAGTCACGAAATATTGTAAAATACAATCATTTTCCTTTGCGTCTTCCTCTTGTTGAACTTATCGTTGACCTGTCAATGTTGTAAAATAAATTTTCAATTTGAATCGAAATTACAACACTTACCTAAAAAAAAATATACAATTCTGGACAAGTAATTTATACATATATCATATATATCTTAGATGGAAATTTTATAGTTGTTGATTATATAGTCCTACATCTTATTTTCCTGTCAACAGTCTGAAAATAATGTACATATAAAATAGTTGATTTAATAAGTATTTAAGTTTATTCACCAATTATGGCTATGACTTCTTCATAGTAAAATGTTGACTATATTTGTATTCTCATATTTATATATTTCTTGTGATCTAAAACATAAGACTATTAATCATAAAATTAACAAAAGGTATCTCTGGGGATCGCCGTCAACAAAAATACTGAAAGTCAAGATATGAGATTAATACATGTAAAAATATAATATCTAACTTTATGATTAATCTTTTCAATTGTGTTCCAGTTTTCAGATCCATTATATGCATTTCAATTGTACTTAAATACTATGTGTTTGTTTGTTTTCCTTGACGAAAGCAAAAATCTGTTAAATGTCTTATACCTAACACAAACTTGTAATAAAAATTGCCTAACAACTTTAAGAGAAAGTTTGAGAAATCTCATGATTTATTGCCGTCCATTTAAGTCCAGGCATACATGGATATTCTCCTAGCTATGGTAACAGACCGCTTCGCCAAGGATGCGCAAAATTTTACTATGCCTTTTATAAATATCCATGCAATAAGAAGCTGTACCATATCGAGTGCATCTGATAGATACAAGATACAAGCTTCTTGAGGTTGTACCATTCTTGTGCGTTCTAGATACCAGTACAAGGTACATGTCTTCAAAGACCATACCATATCGTGTGTACTTGAAGTTCATCTAGACGCAAGATACAAGTCTCGAACTGGAATAATTATTTGCAAGGTTATTCGGCTTTTGACTAAAACCCCACCTAAACTGCTAACCTGAAACCTACTTCTTTGCTAAGACTCTACCCAAGCCTCGTGAATCCACAATCAATGTCTTTCCCCAGACTTTAAAAAGAAATTAAATTTAACTTCACGGGCATACAAATTCAACGGTTTGTTTCCGCCATCAAGGCGAAAGTTTTGCTTGTTTGAAGTGCCCACACGTTTTGGACCCTTCTGGCGCTACGTATAAAAAAAATGTGATCCAGGATTATTACGATTTATGCCATTGGATTTTTGGTATTAGTTGAAGACTGTGACCCAAACCAATGCATAAAATGCGCTCAATGAACTCAGGATTTTTTATTTGTTGCAGGCTCCTGGTTGACCTGTTTTCCGGATTGATGTCATTAGATTTTATGGTATTAGTTGAAGACTGTGACCAAAACTAATGCATCAAATTCGCGAATCCAGGATTTTCTCTATATTGCAGGCTCCTGGTTAACCTGTTTACGGGATAGATGTCATTGGAATTTATGGTATTAGTTGAAGACTGTGACCCAAGCCAATGCATCAAATGCGCTTCGCGTATCCAGGATTTTCTCTTTGTTGCAGGCTCCTGGTTAACCTGTTTTCGGGATTGATGCCATTGGAATTTATGGTATTAGTTGAAGACTGTGACCCAAACCAATGCATCAAATGCGCTTCGCGAATCCAGGATTTTCTCTTTGTTGCAGGCTCCTGGTTAACCTGTATCTTTCGCAATGCTATTAGGTACCCTTACCTAATGCATTTTTGCGAAAGATCTCAGTTGAAGACTGAGACCATTACTAGAATCCTGGACCACGTCCACGAAAGATACATTAGGTAAGTGGTGTTAGCTGAGGACTGTGACCAATACCTATGCATCATTAGAAACGTTACGGCAATCCAGGACTTCCTCTAACTAGCAGGCTCCAGAGCACCTGTATTACGCGAAGATGATTGAAACTTTATACGAAGTCTCAACTCCCATTAACATGTCTACAACTACTGCTATAAACTACTTCACTAAATTCCTTTCAATCTTTTTTTGCGCCAGTGTTCCCGTCCTTTCAACCCTTCCTCGTTCAACCGGTTGCTTGCATTCTTCTTCTTACATCCATCAGGGAAGCTGACTTTCAGACACTACATCATTCAAGTATTCTGTAGGTATTTGAGCATTCTATCAGGAGTTTAAATCTCCTAATATCTGCTTTATACCTACCCCATCCATTTTCGATCACGCTTACTACTATGTTAATAGTAGTTTTTGCTTCAAAATTCCAATACATCCATTTTGCACAGGATTTCTAAATTGACAAGTTCCTGGATACCGCATCGTTTTAACAGGAATAGCCTAAGTAATTTACTTAGGACTACTCCCGCACCTACCGATCACGGTATCCTGCCAACTTGTATAATTAGGATACAGTGATTACGATTTACCTGCGTGTTGCACCAGCGACGTTGGTGTCTTGCCCCGTATGGCTGACTTTGGAGATGGTTGTAGTTTAGAAATAAAAGAACATAAAATATAATGCCTTGACTTTAACTTTGACTAAATGTGTTGTGTCTTGGTGATAGATGAGCGAGTTTTTGTGAATGATTACTTCTAATTATAAAGACCTAACTATCCTGCCTAGCTATTTTATTTCAAAACCAATTATCAAGAAATATCAGAAAAAGACTAGCAAGAACTCCCAAGGATGGTTGGTATGAATGATTTAGCTTACAGATTACTTATAGCTGCTATTAATCCCAGTGTCTTTGGACCCGACTCGTCCTTCCGAAGGACAAGATCGCGCACATTGCTAAACGCACTCCGCACTAAAAAAAAGGGCGCTCGTCTGAAGGACGATCACTATCCCACGGTGCCACCATCCGACGATGAACGAAGCACAATCACTCCGCACAAATAAATGGGCATCATCGGAAGGATGACCCTAGATAATCCAACAGTGCAAAGTGCACGTGGATTCGCACTAACACTGAGATAGCCCCACGCGAAAGGCTCACTATCCAACGATGCTCATCATTCAGGAATTCACTTAGATTTAACACTTTGTCTAAGTTCACTCCTATTTTAGTAAGAAGAAAAGGTAACATAAAATATGAAACAAATTTTAAAAAGTAACTAAATATAAGAGTTCAAATGATTGGTAAAACAGAAAAAAACATAATGCCACACCTACCAAAAGAGGCAAAGGATTCGGTTAGTAAAAGGACTTTAAAAATAAATGGTTGAAATGATACAAGTGGCTTTCATACATTTACCGAACGTACCATACCATAACCTGATCTATAATTCTCACCTTAATCCCATCCTTATATCCTTATCTTTCATGATCCGTTATTGGCATATCCTAAAATGTGTCCTATTCTAAGATTCTACACCTCTTGTTTCATTGTAGCATTTTTCATGTGATTCACCTAAAATCCCAGCTTTAGTATCTTTCTTTCAACGATGAGATACACTTAGGGCATGCTAACAGTTATCTTTTTTTTTGGTAGATTATTTTCACATCATGGATCATAGTTTTATTCAATTCTCCCTGTACTTTGTGTAAAATTAGTGAATGAAATGAATTTTTAAAGTCTCGAAGAAACCGAAAGTTTTTAAACTAAAATTATGGAATTAGTATTCAAGGGAGTTTGAATAAACCAAAGTTTCAACATACCCAACATCCATTCCATCCGATCATGCTTACACTTAATAGAGTATGTGTTCGTAATTTGTGCACGTTTGTTTGCCAATATAAGACAACTCAACTTTTGTTTTAATGAACAAGTTTATACAAAACAAAACTGTTCAATTTGCTCATAATTTTATAAAGTTAATCTAAATTACTAGTTATGATTCTTTGAAAGTTAATAGATCAAAAACTTCAAATTTAGTTTATAATTTTTATAAAACTTGAAATTTATTTGAATTTTTTAGAAGTTTATTTTTGTCGTCAAATTTCCCATATTTGTGTTGAAAATATTTATTTTAGAAAAAATTACAAAAAAAAATTAAAAGTACAAAAATACAAAATCGAAAAAAGTGGTCCACCCTCCAACCCTCATATCACTTTGTTCGATTTTGTCAAAAACGCACTACCTTATTTATTTACACAAACTTCATTTTTGAAATGAAAAAAAAACCGAAAAAATTACTTGTAAATCTAAGAAATTATTACTGAAACTGATGAAAAGAGTAAAATAAGGTATTTCATTTTTAGAAGTTACGCAAGCTGCTAGCAGACAAATTTGATAGTAAAAATTTGCAAAAATAATTTCAACACCTAGGATATATATATATCAATTGAACATGTTTACATTTGTACGACATAAGAAACTCAAGCATTTCAAAGTCAAAGAAAATGATCCACCCACCAAATCAACCCTCTACCACTTTGTTTGACTTTGATTACAACATATTAACAAACAATTTACTTCAAAAAAACAAATTTATAAACTTACATCTAAAAGACCAGCTAAATGATTATTTAAAAAAATTAATTTCAACATTATAAAAATTACTAATTTGAAGTTTTCTGTATTTTAGCTGTATTGTAAATTAATGAAATTTACTTTGCCCACAACTTTCGGACACATAACTTGAGAAATTGGGGAGGTAAACATTTAGGCATGCATGGATACATCAACTTTGGCAAACATTTAATATGAGACAGCTGACAGAAAGCGAAGAGTTTCAGGCAACACCGACAAAGAGATCTGTGCCTAACACTTAGTTTGTCTTTGATCTACATTTACTGTTTGTGTGTGTATTTTTCATTAGATATTAATTAAGTTTGAACATTAATTGAAAAATATGAATGTGATTAAAACTCCTCACTTTATTTGATTTCAATTATAGACTTTAAACTTTTCCAGTTTCCTATCGATCATTTAATATTTAGTCTAAACCAGAGGTTCCCAAACTTTTTTGTGTCGTAGACCCCTTGCCATGTTTTT